TTATGACTAGTTAAAGCGCTCAATTCACGAATCATCGAAGCCCTAAATGTATTCCATGACAAATCGTATAAAGATGTCTCAGGTTGAGGAATCCTGCATTCGCATAGGAAACCAAACCACATGATATTTAGTTAGTTTCTAAACTAGACACGTGATGTTTCTCGTGGGATGAATTCATGATGAATCAAGCCATCGTGAAAACACCTCCTACGATATAAGTCGGGAGAGCGAAAAACCCTTCATTGGGCAAACAGGAGAAAACACTTTTGCCCTCTTGAGATTGAGAGAGTAGGTGTCATCAGTTGACACAACATAACTACTTTTTTACTCCTGAACCATAACCTCAGTCAAACGGAAAACAGCACCATGAAGCACTAGGCCCATTGTTTCGCAAACTATACTGAACTTCTTCTAAATTACAACTGGAAGAACAGGTGCTTCGAAATATTGTCATAACCCTTAGAGCAGTTTCGGTTCACTTTCCCCCAATTCTCAGCCAACTAGCTGGTTCTATTTGTTCCAAGCCTTCTAGCAATGAAGTGCATTGTGTCACGCACTTCGCCGTGTTTAGGATTCTTTCGACATTTCGTCCTCAAAGGAACCGAAATGAGTCACTCACCTTCCGGGGCTGGGTGAGTCTGAACCACATAGTACTAAAAGTCCAGCATGCATTTTCTATAATGTTGTTCACAACATAATACGCTAGCATCTGCAATACAGGATCCTGCGAACGCTGTCGTATTGTATGGCATCGTATCTGATTCCCAAGTACTTATTGAAGGCTTGGGGCGACAAGTGGCACCTAATATGTACGGAGGGGGGCAAAAAAAGACACTTTGGCAGAGTCACATATCAGCAAAGTTTACGCAGCCCAGGTACTGGGGCGGAACATGCTCGAATGTTCCTCGATAAGCAGGAGCAGGCTCTCGTCCATCACCTTCATGTACACCAAAATATGACCTAAACCCCCTCGATCACCGGTTCGGTAGGAGCTCAACAGGGTGGTCTACAGTGGCGGAGAAATCAACGACCTCGCTGAACTCAGGCACCGAATCACGGTCGCGTGGCAGAATCTCTCGATGGCCTTCGTCCAGAAGGCTGTGGCGGAGTGTCCAGTCAGACCTTAGAAAAGTGTAACTTATATCGCCTTGAAAGTCGAGGAAGAAAAATGTCTTTTTTCGGCCTCACCTTGTACACTCCGTATCTCAGAGATCAGGAAGGCGTATTTCACGGCTTGAACATGGCGTGGGACGCGTTTTTCATTGTATATTTCCATTCGAGACTGTCATCTTACCTTGTGCTGGACAAATACATGATTAGAATTGACCCAAAGTGTCATTATCCCTCCGAAAGCACGGCTGCAATCCCTTTCCAGTGAAGCCAAGCTCTCTCCATCTCCGCGATATGGAGTGTAATTACCAAGTGCAGAGTCCCGGCATGGCATCCCATTCGTATTCCAATCACAGCAATGGCTCTTTGAGCATTTTTTATATCACATTCTGATCTTCTATTTAACTTTGAACTTTTATTATTCATGATGGATCACTCACTCGGCGTTTGGAAGTGTCGATGAGCATTAAATGTGACGCTATTTTTGGCACAGATTAGCATAGTTTTCTCGGAAAGCAGCAGCGGGGGGGGTGAGTAGGCGGAATGCAGCTCAAAAATGCATCACATCATAATTGTTGTAGTTTCTAGGCCCGATCTTCCACGACATTTGTCTTGGGGACACTTTTATAAATCGCACCATTAGAAATCACAACAATTATTTACAAACGTGCTGGTAGGCCACAGAGAAATGCATGCCTTTAGGGCTCGATGAAGCCTTGGACGAAAATTAAAAACTGACACTGATGATTCCTTTTGCTTGTTTGTTTTTTGTTTTGAGCTTTTCCGGAGGTCTGTTTTTGCAGATCTTCAGAAATTCTCAATTGATTGGCCCGTGTCATAATGGCACTCAATTATCATTAGCACAAAACAATAGCCTTATTACAATAGCGTAATGGGAGAAGAATCTCTTAACAAGACATATCCCCATGCTTATCGTGTGGGCGGAGTCACTTGTGCACCCATTCTTATTATTTCATAGTTGCCCTTCTCCTATTCGCTGCCCTTCAAATGACCGCATCAGTAAGAAAGGCTCTCGTGTCTCATATGAGCAGAGCGGAACGCAACTTCCACCATTGGATTCGGAGCTGAGATAGGCCAAATCCCTACCAGACGTCAAACAAATGTGCTTCAAATGGTAATTTAGGTACGAGTCGGAAGAAGATGAGTTCCTACGTGAACTTGAGGACATGCGGTCGTCACTACAGAACAGCGAGCAAGAGGATGAAGTCCCTCAGGATCCGGCACCAATACTCAGTACGTTTTCCGACTATGACTATTCAGTATTTAACAACCTTTCAATCAGTACCCATCAATCACCACCAATGCCCTTTCCCGAACCCTTTCATTACAAAAACTGTTGCTGCTGACAATAGCACACTGCCACATAGCAATCTGTAGTTTCCAATGGAGGCTTTTCTGCTCCGTTTAGAGATCCTTCAGCCACAATGGTGGTGACAGTTCCTATGCACTGTACCATTGGATCCTTTTGAAAATTCGAAAGGATGGACCTCGTGAGGTTCAGAGACTCAAAAGTTTTCCAAATCTAGGTGATCTATAGGTTCTCTTAACAATACCTCAGGGAATCACTTCTTTTGTTAGACTCAAATTCACAGTGGGACGGAATCGGAAACAGGGTGAATTTCTCCATCAAACTTTGGGGTATACCCGCAACATTCACGATCCATTGCCCTTGAACTACCACAATTCGGAGAAGTAGCACTTTTTTCTATTTTTCAGGCGTTCTGTGTAGTCTTGTGGACGAAATCGGTTCGTTGAGAACCGAAAACCGGCGGCTAAAAATCCGACTCGCTCCACCTCCGTCGAGATCTAAGGTACGTCCTCAATAGATCCATTATGAAAAAGTAGGATGACCCACGAGGGCAGGATGGCGCGGAGGCAGCGGCACAGGCACACAGCAGTATGTGGATCGAATCTCTCGTAGGCTAATGAAACCTTCCATCTCTCCATCACTGATAAGCGTGTAGGAGTTTCAGCGCCTTGCCTCCATAACTTCCGAATCCATCGACACGGCGATATCAGATGTGAGTTGAAGGCATGGCACATCCAAAATGGGGTTTGAGTCTGTGGAGCGAATTTCGATACTCATCCATTCATGAACGTCTTCCGAGTTGTGGTGGAAACCAGGGCGCATCATTGGTTGGGGATTTCGATCAAGTCCGTGCGATCCCTACCCTCTCCCCCATCTCTACCTAAAGGGTGGCTTAATAGGCCCCTCTCCCTAGTTCCTTCCTCTGATACACTGAGATTGAAAGGCGGAGGGAAATGTATATATAGCAGGAAACAACAACTTCTCGCCGATTCCTGTGTGAAACAACCAGGAGAACTTTTCCCCAACGCCGCAAATTTCTCGCAGAAGGGAAGCAAATACGACCCTTCCCTTTCTCATAGCGTCAGTGGTGATACAAGAAAATCAAAATGTGGAGAAATTTCCCGAACAGATACGACACTCCCCTCCGCCGCCTTCCTCCCTAATGGGAAATACTCAACAATGATGTGTCCAGGTGGAAGCAATGAGTACGTAGCCAAGCGAAACCAAACCTTTGAGTGAAACGTTTGACCAAGCTACATTATTGCCCGGCAGCTGCTTTTAGTCCTGGAAAGTTCTAGGAGGGGAGAAGCTTCCCACAGGCTTCACCTAGTCTGAAAAGACTCCTACTTTCCCCTGAGAGTTGCGTGTGTTTACGACTGCTATTATCTTTTATTCAAAAGCAATAAATGAATCATGTGTTGTTGATACCATATAGTAAGTCAGTAGAGCCCTAGAGTTAACATCGTATGAATATTCAGAATGTGGTTCAACGCGTGTCGGCAATCTTTGACTCACACACAAGCATTTTCCCACGCGCCTACGTCGTGCCGCTCATGCCGAAATTCGCACTGGAGCAAGGGAACGGCTATCGACACCACCGAGGAAGGTAATGAACTTCAAAATGAGGAAAAAAGTTAGGACGAAGGGGTACAATGACGGCTGTGCTTCTCATACTAACAATATTATTTGACAGCAGTCCAATATCTTTGGTTTTTGCTGCAAAAATTAAGTACTGAGGCAACAGTACGGTTCAATCGTATGAACATTCGTGGAACACAGGTTGAATTTTGGGCTAAAGTTAGTTGATGTTCTTGCATGACTCCTTAGACTTTTCTGCATGAACCTGTTGCGAAAGCCTGCATGCGAACAGCTAGAGGGCACAAGCTACTAAAGATCCAAAGGTACACAAAACTAGGGGATGGGCTGGCGAACTAGGGATGGGCTTATACAAAGGGGAACGGGTAGGCGACTTACCTATTATGCGTGATATATTGGACTGCGTGAGTCTTAGCAATTATAGAGCGCATGAAGAAGAGAAAGTGCAGAGAAAAACAGTTAATTCGATTAAAGAGGTTGAGTCCAAGTGGCCGTAGGCCAGTTGAACGATTTTAGGGAGTTCCTCCTTCTGGGTCCCGAGAGGAGGCTTCGCGAACACTGGCTGCTTGCGTTCTTCTGCTGCTGAGACATAGAAAAGGAGGGATCTGAGCGCGTTGTAGGTTAGGCAACCCCAATGGTGGTCGCATTTGGTTATCTGGGGAAGCTAAAGACTATTCCTGATGACTGAGCGTTTGGAAACGTTTACTAAGATGACTGGTTTGCTGTGAAAGGGAGTCGTAGTGGAGCATACTGCAGGAAAAAATTTGGAGGCTGGGGGGGGGAAGAGAGGGAAGGGAGACGTATTTAGCAGAACTTCCCTCCACCGCCAGAATGTGCTCTGGATTAACGCGGTTGAGATTATCAGCCACCCCCGCTGGACAGGTGTCACTCTCAAAAAAAAGAAAAATTAGAAAATATTCTTAAAAATAGAACATTACCCCAAACATTTTGTAATAGCAACGTGTTATAGCTCATAAAACTAGTGCAAGAGTAAAAGAAAAAAAAAAAAAATCGTCATCCCTGAGAGGCTGATCATTCCTAAGGAGTCTATTCATTCTAGAAAAGCCACTAAATGAAGTAATGGCAGCAGTTCTCAAATCGTTCAGGATCCTCTTACAACATCATCGATTTCAACCGACTTCTCACAGGCATCAAGCAGGACGAGGGCACCGCCACTGGTCCAGCCAGAAAGTGATAGCGAAGTTGAAGATTATCCGGTAAGGAATTCTGATCACTTTGAGCCTTTACCTTATTTGGCGCAAATCCGCTTGAAGGGAGGAGCAGGGCTGTGCAGTCTTGTGAACTGTATAATTGAGAAATGACAAAACAAGTCACATAGCGTTGTTGGTTGAACCGGAACATTTGCGCCTACCACAAATTTCATTGGCTGAAAACGGATGACATTGTACCGAAAAAAATAGAAAATATTTTTGGCCAGTCGCTAGAGACGGACGGTCCGATGGTGCGCCGCGGCCGTAATTGACAACATGTTCCATGCCTTCGCATACTGTAATTTGTTCCGCACAACTCGTCCACATTAGACAATCTCTTGATTGACATGGCACACGATTCAGGCTACAGGATATCTTACGGAGAACACAAAACTCATAAGCCAATTGAGACAAAAGCCGATATGTCCGCACTACAGCATGCTCGAAAAAAGTAAATGAGTAGACTTACCAAACAAGGACCACTGATCAAACACTGCAAGCTTCTTTCATGTAGATTATATCACAACTCAAAAGTATTTCTATTAGAACCACTCCGAATTAGCTAAGCATCGTTGAAGAACGAAAAAGACGACAAACTTAGAAACGGACGGAACTGATTTAGCGGGTCGTCGTATGCAGCTGAGCTTCTGGGCTGGCGCGAGTATGTAAGAAGTTGTCATTAAGAAAATAAGGATAGGATGTCCAAGTTACGGTGAAAGACCTGGTAGGGAGGCAGTTACAGCCGCGCCGCACCATCCGACATACACCCGTCGCTATGTTGAGAACACGCAAAGCAGTCGCATAGCAAATCTGTTTTTTATTGGGTTCTCAGTACTTGAAAACAAACAAAGTAGCTTCGGAAAGAGGGGGCGGGAGTGGGGAGAAGAACGGCTACCGGCTAAGTATCTCATGACATGCGACAATTCATTTTCACTAAAGGATTGGGTTCGCTCGCCCGGAAGATGCTTCACACCTGGACCTATGCGAAAATCCTTATCGCTCTGATGCACAGCCGCCTCTCAGCTTTCTTCCCACCTTCCAGTAACGGATGCCGCCCAACATCGGCACACAAAATCAAAGTAATATGTTTTTTCGGTTCACAGGGCTTTGCGAAATTGCCGGTAGTGTTGACCCAAGCTAAAGAGATGGCCCTCTCCATCAGTGGAAGCTTCCGCTATCTGTTGTATCGATGAGTTTTTCTGCTCGATGAGTTTTTCTGCTTCTGCATCAGCATTTCTTTAATCTAATAGCTTGGCAAAGGACAATGTGTAGCCTAGTAGTAAATTTTATAAGCAAATTCCGTGAGTCCTTGAACAGATTTGGCCAGAGCTGTCAGCAAGCTGGCGCAGCTGCCTACAAGCAACATATGAGGGCTCAATCTAATGAATTGTCAAGTCCTTTTGACGCCTGATCTTAGCTCGGGCAGATCTTTAGAGATCCGCTAGCATAGCCGACGTCTAGTCACTACAATTAGAATTCGCATCTCACGACGCTTTTCCTGCGTTTATTGTCGTCCTTCGGTTTTTACCTTCATATCGCTTATGTGTACTCAGACTTTTTTCAATACAGTTAATGATGTGGCAAAATTAAGAGACATTAGTGGCTCTGCTGAAAGAGTCGAAAGATCCAGACAAGAGGACCTAAAAAAGTTTTCTCAAAACACTTGAGCTATTTTTCGGATATTTCGCTGCTCATCACCTTCCTCAGCGTTTCTGAGTTCTGCCTCCGCAGCCTATGGAGTAGCTACCAATCGGAAACCAAGCGTCGTCAAATTGGCTCTTTATAGCTTTTGAAGTTTGGATGTTGACAAGAATGCTATGTAATGGCAGCAATGAAAAAGAAGTCACCTAACCTGCCTTTGGAAAGGCAGTCCGGTGCCGTTACCTCATTACAGCCAGGTCGTGAACCGCGCATCTCGTCCCGAAATTGCCTTCTAAATGAGTCGTATAACTGTAAAGTGGGTCAGCTGTCGCCTGAAACTGCGTGCCAAAGCGCTTCTTTTCCAGAGAGCGGAAGTTAAAGTGATCCCAAACAAACCTATTTTCAAAGTAATTGCTTTATGGAATCGAATTGAGTTCAGGTGGAGCGTCGGAATCGCCGAACAGCGGCGCGTCGTTGTGATGTCATGTCGATGTCAGAATGCACGAGTCCGTCGTCAGCGTCATCAAGTCGTGATCCGAGCGAAAGCTATGAGTAAGTGCTGGCCATTCTTGAATGCGCTCCATGGCTCGCTTCATTGACGCTTTCCAGCTTCGAGTCGTTCGTCATTCCTCGAGCTGATCGGATTCCGAAGACGAACCGTTGGCACATCTTCCACATCGCTTCTGTCCCCTACGAAGCCTATATTGAAAAAGCGAAAACGCCGAGTGTCAGAGGATGAGGCCAGCGGTTTGTATGCCCAATATAGGTAGCTATTTAAATGTCTTACATTCGTAAATATACTCTTCTCAGAAATTTTTGAAATTTTGGAAATTTCTCCATTCGCGAAACGTTTAGGAGAGGGTTTTCTATGCTCCATTGTCGTCCGAGTTTTTCGCTACTTTACTGAAAAAATTTTCTGAGACACCAGGGCTTGGATGCGACCAAAAATTTGGCTACCATTGAGTGCGTAAACTTACCCTATATATTCAGGCTTCAACCCTTTTGGGTTAAGGGAAACGCAACTTCGACCTCCTGATGCTATGCCAGAGACAAAGTGTGCACTCTACTGCATCAAACCTCCTTTCTTGCCACTGGTGTGGTGAAAGGGTCCGCAGATGCAGCAGCGTCCCACCTTCTCCGTTCAAAAATGCACGGCAATGGGGCTTTAGAGTAGTGGTACGCTGATGCTCACTTCATACTCTGCCTGCGCTACAGCGCGGCCAGACAGGCATCTAGTCGTGATCAGGCGCGCTACTTGTCTACGCCCTCTCACTTCTAGTTATTCTGTAAGTGCGTATAGTTCGCTGCGGCATCTTTTATATTGATGCAAGAACTGAACGTAGAGAAAAGCGTTGAGGGACAGAGTATGATGAGAACATCAATCCAGCCCCCCTTCAGTGTCAACTTGTGGATGGCCATTTTTGGTAACGGGCGGAACTAATTCCTTGCACAAAAAGTCCTCCTACGCAGTGGGATGGAGCTTACTCTTAACAGTTTGTCCTTAAAGGCAAAGCCCGCGATCATTCGCCATCACAGATAGTGGATTAGGGTTTGCATATAGACGACAAGGTTCTGAGTAACTCGATAGTGAAGAAAAAAGCAGAAAAACATGCCAACTGCCCTAATAGAACCCCATTACAGATCCCAGTTTGTAGTTGCCCAATTGCCCATCGGAGTCTGCAGGCGGAGTCACTGGAAAAAGGAGGCGTCACTGAACCTATATTGCGCTATAGCGCCCCTCCCTTACAATTTTTTGCCGCGAAACCGGTACAAGGTTGTTCGTTGCGGACCACACTACCCTTCCGACCCATATTTTCAACTTCTAGACCTCATCGCGGACCGTACCTTTAAGTACATCTGTGAGTATGAATGGCAGATGAGCCCTTTACCATTTCAGCAGTGCCCACTCATAACTCAATACGCCGTAAGCCGTACTAGGCATAGGGATGGAAGCTGAACTTCTTGCTGAAAATTTCTTCAGTTTTCTTCCGTACTTTTTTGAAGTGCTTCCGCTTCCTTTCGCCGACAAATAACGCAATTCGAAGTGTGTCCTTCTCTTGCAGCATTAAGTTCGTCAAACGGATTAGGTGTAGGAGCGGGTTCCCTTCAATAATAGTTTCTCATCAAAATGAGGAGGAAGAGCTACGAAATATTGCATTTTGCGAAATTATTTCATTCATAGTCTCTTTTACACCTGCTGATAAAACTTTTCGTTTATGGCCTTCAATTTTGCATTTGCAGATAATGCAAACTCTCGACCACGACAGGCTGCAAAGGTTAGCTATTATACAAATGAATCTCAAACTACATCTCCTCTGCTTCTGCTGTGTTTGTATGGCTTTGAGTAAGGTTCTCAAGTGCTAGCTTTTAGCCTCCTCGTCCGGTATCGTACTATCCAGTCGAGGATAGCGACGATTCGGATAATCTGCGAACGAAACGAAAAGCGACTTCTTTCCTAAATGTCCACAACAAATTTGACAATACAGGTAGGAGAAGTGGAATTTGCGATGAGTTACAGTCTTGTTAATGGGGCATGTCAAAGAGGTTGGGTTTGGCGCGCAGCCAACTCTTTCTCCAACAGTCGCTGAACTGAGTAAGCGACAATAGTTGGTGGAAAACGACTGATTAGAACAGTTTTGTCGCTTGTCGAAGAAAAATGGCAACTGAACCATACTGTCCCGTGACATACGGCCCGCATTCAATCCGCACGCGGACACAAGACAATACATCATTCGTTAACTTCATGAATACAATCATCACGACTTTTTTTCATTACAATTATTTTCAGAAAATCTGTTACGTGTAGAAAGAGAAACCAGGTTGAGGCATGCCAAGGAGAATCTTGAAGCGGAAATCGAGGAGCTCAAGGTGAGCGTCCACATCGCGTGCGCATTTATGGGAATACAGTAGAAACATATGATGGGGGAACAAGAGAAGTGTTGGAAGAGGCGTCATGCCCAAAAGTAGGCCTTGCCTTTGAAGTTAGGGTACAGCATCGTTTGGATCCGAATAAAAGGTGTATATACTCGCTTGGGGGAAAGTCATTTCTGATCCCTGTAGCGTTCGTGTCTTTATATAGAAGATACCCCTCCCGCGTGTCTGCCCTAGTTGGGGGGTGCATCAAGTCTGCGTAGTCATGACAAGCGTCTTCTCCCGCTTGTAAACGGTTTTTCTTTTAGCGGAGTGGGGGGGGAGGGGGGGGGGGGCGGTAAAAGAATTTTTGGGGTAACGGTAAGAATTTGGAAAGTTAGAAGAATGACGAAGGACTTGCGAGAAGTAATCGTACCATAGAGTTAGATAAGAACGATTGGGGGGGGAGGCGCGGGGGAGGAGAAGTCGTGTGACACCTCCGTTTCTCGTCTTTTTTTTTGGAGCGAAGTTCTTTGCAATGTCCAAAGATGCTCTTCATCTCAACATCTAGTCTCTTGCTTGAGTTGTTCATAGTGAGCCCGTGTAAAAGAAGTAATCAGCTGCGTCAGTTTAGGTTATTTCAGTGTTTTCACAAGAATTGTCAGCGCTATTCAGTCCTCTTTGCCTCTAAAGGATTTTTGCTCTCAACGGCAACAATGAAGTGAAGGCACGATTCCTTTTTCTTCTCAATAACCGCTGCTTTTTCAGATGCGTAATCAACGTCTTGTGGAACAACTGCGAGAGAAAAGCGCTCAATTCAGTAAACTTCAGTTTCATGCTCACAAACTGGACGAACAGGTGAAGGCAACGGGTTCTGAAAAATTTACACATACTACTTTCCCTGAACTGCCTACTTCCTTGAATTCAGGCGAGCGTTCCATTTAAATCTGTTCATGAGAGTAAATTCGGGTGAAAATTTCTGTTCAGCATCTCGAAACACTGAATAAACCTGACCCTAGAAGTAGGTTGATACCCCGAATACGTATAGCTCATTCTTTTGATGACAAACCAGGCGTCACAGGTGCCGGGGCGAAACCCTCTAGCACGTAGGCGTCTGGCCTCGCACGGGCGCCAAGCCTTTTCGTGGCTAAATGTGTTCTGGGATTGACCTACAGTGTGACTAAATTCGTTTTTGCTAGAAATTACCCGCAAGCACGAATTTTGAGAAGATTGAAGCCTAATTCCGAAAAGCAGTCTGTTGAGGGATGAATACTACTCCTTCCTTTTTACTGTATAAATCTTCTCAGGGATGATTTTCAGATCGAATCTCTTTCGAAGCGCTGTGCTCTTAGCTCTGCTTTGGACAAATTGAGTCTTGATGAACGATTCGTGAGAGGATCGCTGACAACTATTGAAAAGGTGATTTCATTATGCATTGGAAATTTTCCCACTCACCACTTTGCCTTGTTACCCATAGTTTGACTTGTTCAACAAAAGCATTACACAACTCGTGAGATAATTTCCGTACCGTAGTTCCATACTTCTCTTGCCGAATATGTGAACGGTTTTCCGGAGAACAACATGCGTCACCTGACACCTGGTAACTGGTGTTTGTGGACCTTGAAGTTTGTTCGGGATCTTTTCGCTGGAAGCCGCGAGAGTCTCCGTTCCAGGTCCAAGCAGGGTCAATCATTGCATCGGGAACGTTCTCGATAACATTACGCACAATATTCCCGCTGTTGTGGGGAGTCAATGCGACCGGATTCCGCAACGCACACGCACATCCGATCTTTCCCTCCCCCACGCCCCCCCCCCCCTTCGTTTCTGGGAGCACTGGAAGGGGCCAAAAATGTTGATTTTGGTTTAAAAGAGCCACCTGAGAAATAGCCTACCCCCTAAGTTTATTCAAATTAATCTAGCATGGTCTTCTCCTTTCGCAATATCTTCTGAATCACAATCAGAACGAATCCTCGTTTCAGATTGAGGATCGTTTGCGACAATTTCAACGTCACGTTCAAAGTGCTAAACTGGACGCTGCTAACGTGCAACAAAAGGTTTGCTCCATACATTCGCTAGTTCACAATTCTTCTTTTTTTGGATCATTAAGAGAAAGATCAAGCGATCCGAACTATATCAGATGGCGACACTCATCAAAATGACTCATGTCACGAAGCCGTGTACATGGACGTCGTTGACATGCGGCCGCGCACCTGTGGAGTGATGCTGGTTCGGGGCGCAGACTTGTAGACAGTAGGCGTAGAAGGGAGGACAGGAGGCTGGACGGTGTTGCTGTCTCTTCTCCTGAAACTGTGCACTCCCTTCCCAGGACGGTGCCTGTTGCGCAGTTGCGCGATAATATCCCTAAAATGAGTAGGATTGATGAGCGCCTGACAGGGCGGGGATTTCTCGATAGACTCTGAGTAGCGCGCCTGTATCATGCGGCTTTCCTAGGGAAGTACCCTTATAAGGGTCGTTATCAAGCTACAACATACCTGCCGCGCCACCGGCCCACTACGCCCGCCCGCCCACACCATGGACGCCCGTATCAGATGCTTGTTTGTGCTGCATTCGGCTGAGTAAGTAAAGCATAAGCGAGAGGGATTAGTATGAAGCGGCTGAATGGATATATGAGTACATATATAAAGCCGTACCTGTCGGAGAGGTTATTTGCAATACGCCTACGGGAAACTCGTCCGAAATTGCTTTCCAAGAACGAAGGTTTTTCTTCGCAGTTTTCGACCGTTTCACTTCGTTTTTCGCCATTTTCCCCACTAGATAGCGCCCATGCTAGCAATTTATCTGCCTACCTAAATTATCGTGCGACTGCCTCAAAGGGGCACGAAACGGACCTTACAGGAATGTAAACCGGTTAGCGTCGCCATACTCCACCAGCGCTACTCTCAAAAGGCAGCGCTCGCATCCCTAGGTCCCGCAGCGGTGGAGTACAATCAGGAAGAGTGCCCACCAAGTAGCGCCTTTGACTATGGTTATAGCTTCTGGCTGGCCGTGCGGCGGCGTGGGCGGAGCATGGGGATGGCACCTGGGTAGCCCCGTTCCTGTAGAATTTTGCCAGAGAAAATGGCACGCTGCTGAGGCTGTCTGACTCTTTCTCGCCACACCACGGCAAGGACTTAGCTGACGGGCACGATTGTCCACCTTTCAACTGGCCATCTCTCACATGTACGCTCCCGGCTACTGCGAGTGGACCCGGGCGGCTCTAGAACGTCATCGGTAGGGCTGTGGCATCTTGTAATACAAATTATTCGAAAATACAGGAAAAATGCTGAAATGCTCAGCTGGGAAGCTAGTCTGATCAGAAATTCCCTCAGCTTCATGAGTCGTATTCCAGACAATGAACACTATTGCTCAAGAGCGCAGCGCTCATCAAGCATGTCTGGATCGCTTAGAGGATCTACAACGAGAGAACTTCGCCCTTATGCAAAGCAGATACTTAGGTACGTTTGAATGGAGTGGCGGATAGAAATTTTAGGTGTGTTCCATCTTCTTCTGTTCTTGATTTCAAAGAATATGGAAGTTTTGAAATACCGGTGATCATTGGAACGACCCCTTTTTTGGCATAGTGGAGGCATTCATGCACTTTCAATAAGTTCTTGTTGCTAGTTCACCTCAATTGATAAGTTTACTGTTGGAGGGGGGGGGAGGAGGGGGGGGCATGGGGGCGGTGGGTGGGGTGGAGGGGAAGTGTAAGCTCCAAAACAGCCCCGAAAATTCTCATGCTACTCATTCAGGCTCACTTAATGCATTTAGAATCCGGATGTGATGATAGCGTTTGGCAGCGGAAAATCGATGCATTACCGGCTTATGAGGCTCTGTACAGTTTCGCCACAACATGCTGTTCGTAAGTACTCCGATCTTCGGTGGATGCTGTTAGAACGAGAACGAGAAGCTAGTCGAGCTGAGCTTGATCTGGTTGCTGCGCAGTCATCTTTGCTGGTTACACACGCCCAGGTAGGGAAATTCTTCACACGAGTAGTGAAGCTGTCCTCAGAAGTGGTCCGCTTGCCAAGTGTAGAGCTGTTTTTCAAGAATCTTTTTCAGAATGAGCGATTCCGAATCAAGCTTGGAGAAAAACGCCCAAGGCGACCCGCATCGTTCCACGGAGAGGACTTGTTGAACAGAGTGGTAGGTGGTAGGTGGATTCCACATCATTACCTGGAATGCCGTTCCAATACGTTCCTAAGGGCTCGTTTTTAGGTGAAACGTGATATGAACTTCTTCCTCCCATTCAAAATGCAAGGCTCACGAGTGGAAAACGCAAGGCGAATGATGAACAAGAAGTCCATCGACAACGAAAAAGACCTTGAAAGCGAATTCTTCGCCGTATTTGGCACAGGACGAAGTAAGTAGTAAAGCCAGAAATACAATCGGAGTGCTGAGTAATTAAGCTAGTGAACATCTTGTGACTACTTGAAGTTCATATAAGCACACAAATACTGAGCAATTTGGTAGCATACTCCATTCACGACCTCACATAATCCAGTTGCACGCGAAGGGAACACTAGATGCTTGTTCGAAACTGTCATATTTAGATGCTCCGCCTCCAACGTCGCTGGACAAACCACCAACAGCGGTCAGCAGGATCGAGTACATGATGAGAGAAATGTCGCAAAATAAGAATCGCAAGGCACCACTGGCTCCGGTCCGAGAGAACACAAAGGCCTCAGCGAACAGGCCCATAAGGTGAGCGTGGTGATATTTCCGTCACAAAGTCCGACTCAACGCTACTGAACTTTGTTCAAGAGGAAGTGTTTACCTATGTACCTCTGAGGATGGTAGTTGCCATGAACGAGAGGAATGGGGCGGCAGATGTGAAAGCGTAACGTAACACCCCAGCATTCTTGTGATAGCTTTCGGAGCGCGAACTGCTGCGTTGAACAGTAGTAACCATAATAAAACAAGTGTAACACTTCCGTCATATGAGAGCGCAAAAGGAGTCTGAAGTGAGGTTCAGTGTTACTCAGGTACCGTTCCGGTTTGTGCCCGCGTCATGCTCAAGGGGCAGCACTTGCGGCAATACCATGATCCCGCAGCAAAACACGCACTCAGCGATTGAGAACAAGCAGAGGTGAGAGAGCGCAGACGAGCGACGTGTTTCTCTACGGTCAAGCGTGGGGCGAGTCCCAGATTTCACCCGGATAAGCTATCCTCCAGCTCCGTCCGCATGCACTTTCTAGCAGAAATGTGGAAAGCTTGCAGCTGTGGATCCATTACCTCGCGCATGGGTCAAGCGGTTATGTTCAAAAAAATCATGACTTGCCCAGCCCACCTAATTTTCGGAACATTTGCTGGTGCTCCCTGATTAGAAGGGGGGCCGCCACCGATCGTAAAGCTGATGGAATCTATGCAAAGCATCAAGGCAAAACGTTCACTGGGCCTCTGATTTTGCCGTTAACGTCCGATGCTCTACCTTCACAACACGATGGGATTACACAGCCTACAATATCCCCAACCACAGCCCATCGGAAACGGCGTGCTTTTTTGTGCGCTACACAATTCATTAAAGGAATTCGGCGCGATTATCTGTCAAATTGATCCTTCTTGTGCGCTGACTTGGTAGGTACACAGCGCCCGCTAATCATTATCTGCACTAGAATGTTTGTGGCAAGGTATGGGCTTGTGATACTTCAATGCCATCCCCGGCTGCCGTTTGAAAGCCTTATTGTCAAAAGACAACGTCAGACATCTACGGTTTCTCAATGAGGCCATAATCTTTGGGCTTGATTTCAAGTGTAAACTGCAAGTGTGTCCTTTGAAGAGAACTCTTTGGCCTCAGTCAAGACTATCAGCTATAATTCACTGAGAGGGGCGCAGACAAGCATAGATTCACTAATCGCGTGGCAAAACTGTGAACCGGTGTTGGTAGCGAATGGCACACACAGAGTCAGCACATGCAATCGCAATCGTGTAACTTCGTCGTCATGCGGGCGGGTCGGCAGCTTTTGAGCGACAAGAGCTGACCAGTATTTTTTGGCAATGAGTGCGGTGGTAGCGGGTAGTGGGCAAAGATGACTCAAGCAAGAATCGCTATCGAAGTGAACGACACGCTGCAGCACGCATTGCCGTATTGGATCAAGTTGAGTTCTGTATTGGCCCGAATGCCGCGCATGCGACAGCTAATTTGCGCGATCTACGCGCCGCCCTTGGCAGAGGCATACGTATATGCTTGAACCTAACGCATTCGCCATACAGAAGGAAATGAGACATCACTCAGATAACCATGCATTGGGTTTTTGCAAAAGTATGAAGTTAACAGAAGTGAAGATACCTGCAAAAGGGCATCTCTGATCGAATAATTGTGCAGTGCTCACAATTCCTTTGACGGCTGGCAGCGGTAAGACAAGCAAAGTACAATGAATAGTCTCAGGCGGGGTATCAGTTCCAGTAAATTCCGGTAAACAAGATTTTTACCTACATCAAAAATACAAATGTTTATATTTAGCCTCGTCGAGGTGGAGGAACAGCGTCGTTCGCGGCGATTCGAAGAATCTCGCCGCAGCATCAAAGTCCGTCGCCAACCCAGTATGGAAGGGTACAATCAAAGGTGAGATCAACGTCTGCTTAAAACATTGTGTGGGGATGTTTCATGACTTGGTCACCACTGAACAGCAGTACGTTTCTGTAGTGTGCGCATCTTGTTTGCTGCGATGGATGGCATGCCAAGGGAGAGGGCCTCGTTAGCCGGGACGCCAGCTCATTTTCCACAATTGTTTCGCTTGCTATTTCCTCAGTGCGAAAGAACTAGCGCCTCACCAAGCTCGGCATCCCCTTAACACGCGCGCCATGCGCAGCGAACAAGATTGTCCTCTGCAGACCTGGTGCCTTTTGGCAGGGCTTTTTGACCCAGCTGATCTCTAATTCTGAGGATGTTTAGGCCTATCGATACCGGACAAATGCCAACCTCCTCTCTACAAGAGCTGCCGTTCCATAGTCCGGTTGGCACTCCGATGACTTCTAGAAAATTCCCGGAGAAGATACCGTACAGACGTGAGTGGAGGGTCCGAAAGCACATTCCCTCATATTACATTTCGAAGAATTTCAGTTTACGAACAACTCCCAGAGAAGCTGAAAGGGGAGAGAGTACGTCAGCTAGAACGGGGCTACAGCATGGAGACACATGACCGTCCAACGTATTCGGAAGAAATGCGTCGTGCGGCAGAGGAAAGGAAACGCGATGAACGAGAAAGAGTGGCATCGAATGAAGAGGTTGAGCATCGGAAGCCTCGTATTCAAAGACAACCACCTGTTCATCTGACGCGAATCAGGCCGCCATCGTATGTCATACAGAGAAAAACGGTGAGCTATTCTTGCTTTTACTGGCGACTCATTAAGTTCTTCAGAGCCGACTATTCGTTCAGTCGTAATTCTTGGTAGAATGTGAGCCTGGATGGTAAGAACACTTTTTTGGAAGCTCAGTCTTGTCCCAACTCGGTCTTACTGTTCAATCCATTTGGAAGGGCGACACCAGGGGTGTAGCTCAATCGCTCTACTCGTTTCACTTTCTGAGTACTGAGTGGCTACTGAGCCCAGGTTGTCTTCGAGGCAGTCGGAGAAGCTGATACTTTTGAAAATATCATTTGAAAATCAAAAGATACACGTTCCGTTCCATGGTGACTAGAGTCATAGAATCTAAAATCATCTGCAAGATTGAGCTGCATAATTCGTGGCTGGGAATCGGTATAAATGATTATCCACCTAGCGTTTCGGGTGAACAGTGGAACCGAGGAGTTAGCCTACAGTTGGCTGGCGTTTTGGGAAGAATGTGAGCCGAGACATTGTATCGATCGGTGTTTTTAGCCAGTGCTTGAGAGAACATAGTAGTATGGGATGGTCCCAGATGGAGTGATCAGGCTTAAAGACGAACCCTGCCAATGTATAATGTGGGTAGTGGTGTTCAACTTTCAAACCTATGTTGCAGGCCTAGTGCCACAAATGACTTTTCAGGGAAAAAAAGCAAGAAAAGAGTGAGAACATCCTATGTAAGGACCTAACAGTCCCTCTGGACGAGTTCTACGGACCTGCTTGTTTTGTGCCAGCAAAGCGATATCCTACCGCCTCTGGCTTGCTAATCGTTTCTTTACGTCATCCAGTGCTAATACCACCTAACAGTGAAAAGAAACGAAAAACGCGATGTAAAAACTAAACTCGTGACAGGAAATAGCCTTTGAATTCTGGTGGGCGGGTGCAACTAGGGAGGCGTCAGAACTGCCAGTTATGAGAACCACAGCTCCTTCGTTACATACTGTGAAGTGGGATAGTACCAGAGACTGAAGACCAGACTGCTTGGTTAAGAAAGGATCTTTACGACTCGCGTGAGCGCGGGGACTGCAATCATGAGCATGTAACGATCGGCGTTTGCAGTGCTCGACGTCTATGAGGTTACCAGGCCTCGGAAACAGCAAAGTAGCTCTTTTGCAACCGCATTAAGTGTTTGCTATTTCACGGCGCCTGAGCACACCATCTAAGACCCTACTATCCTAATATCGCCCAAAACACTAGCGAGCTGCACACGTTGATACCCATCTATCACTTGGCGTACATCCCAGAAAGGCGGTTCGTTTGATTTCCTTAGAACGTTGGTTCTGCAGGGTCTCTCAGAATGTCAGAGGGATACCAATTCGTTGTTCGGCCCATAATCTCCCCGATTCTCGACAGCAAAGTAGGAACGCAGTACTGCGCAGGAATACTTGCACTTAACAGGAAAGTTCAATCATAATTTCAGAAAACGCTTGAAGCTCGAACCGATACGAATACGAGGCCACCTGAACGGCATCCTGTAATGGAAGTTCTCGATCCTCCACGAACCTCGTGTGCCTCGCCACCTGGATCGACATCCAGTCGGTTACCGAAACCAGACAAGAAATCATGGCTGGACAAGATTCGAAGCATGAAACGATCTTAACGCTTTCCTGTCAGAACTCCTCTCTTGCCTTTGTTCCTCGTTTATGGAATTTAATTTTGAGCACTATTAACCCTTTACTGCCCCAACAATCCCGAATTGAGCCAGTTTCTGACCGACTTTTTTCTCCGTGGACATATTTGACTCAAATGTTGTCTCCTGGGTCCTCCTAAATATGAAACGCTCGCCGTACGCGCCCGCGCCACAGGCGCCGGTGATCTGAGGTATTTTGGCGCCAGCACCTGTAGCGCGGGCGGCAGGAGGTTTTGCGCCGAGCGGATGTGATATTCGTGATCAGGGGTCAAACCACCCCTGGGAGCAAGTTTTCAGCGAATTTGGTGATTTCGAGTATTTTGGCGCCGGGCGCCAGGAGGTTTCGGGTCAAGCGGATGCGATATTCGTGTTCAGCGGGTCGAACTACCCCTGGAGCCAAGTTTTCAGCAAATTCTGCCCACGGAGAAAAAAGTCGGTCAGGAACTGGCCTGATTTCGGATGACTGGGGCAGTAAAGGGTAAATAGTGCCCAATTTTGAGTACTCCTCCGATTCAGACGTAGTTGTGCGACTCTTGAGCGTTCTTGCAATAAGACCATGAGGTTTGTCACTCACGTTTTTTTCTCGAACGAAAATACTTGCCTCCACATCATGCCTTATGAAGAGTGGCTACGTACTTCATTTACAGTTGACGGCGGCTGCTCTTTTGGTTGGATACTCTTATTTTGCGACAAATGTAATAATTTCTTTGTCTAACACAAGGCAGCATGAAAGTTGTCTCAGTGGAAATATCGCATGTTATGATATGTTCAGATAACGTACACTCCTTATCCCTGAGCCAGAGTAGGCGTGGCATTTGAACATGGCACGGAATGGTTACTCGTGGAATATTCCAGTCTGGGACAACTGTCATCTTGTTGGACAGAGACACGACAACAATTGTGTCAAGATGAAAATATCTCACCAGAAGCATAGACACCTTCAGGTTAAGTTGAAGCATGCGGCCACGCCTACCCGATCTCAGGGATTTCGAGTATACGTAGTCACGCTCTGTGCGTCACAGGGGTGTGAATGGTATTACCTGATCATACCTGAGATTAACCTCTTACAAATCAAGTCGTCTGGAATTTGAGCGGAAGTTTTTTTTGTGGCATCACTCATTCGTGTTTGAACCCATAGCAGTTGAAGTCAAAGACTTCATTAAAACTATAAGGACTTACTATTTGAACATTTGTTAAAAGGCTTAAAGTCTCTTGTCTTCGTTCAAATTTTTCCATTGCCTTTCATTATTCTGCCATTTCGTCATAGTATGCCCTCAGTTGAGAATGAGTTACCCCTCTTACTAATCGGGAACTTTGCCTGCAGGAAAACCATTTATTTTTTTAGGTGGTAGTATAACTTGTTAAACGTAATTCTATTGATAAAAATTTCACTGAATATGTTTAACACTAGTGTTTGGGATAAAAGCTGTGAGTTGAAGCTCCCACGACTTCATTCGAAGTATCGCTCTGCAAATAATGTAGACTTCAGAGAACAACAAAAACCTTGACACTGATTTACCTCTCACCCATCTCATTAGGAAGGGCACCTTTGACTAGAGGTTCATACGCAGGGTACAGCATCGTTGTGCGAAACCCATAGGGGGTCGTACTTGGCCGCTGGGGAGGGGGGGGTCGTAATCTCAAGGGTCACTCAGAGCCGGGCAATGCTTCGACATTTCAGTTGATAGTGGGAGTGGAGCTATGGAAGTTAAGATGTTAAAAAATGAAAATTATTATGAGTGTATTCTTTACAGATTGAACTGCTACGTTTAACAGCCCTCTTTTCATGCAAAATCCCCAAAATGGGTTCGTACTTGGCCGCGGGGGACATGGGGAGTATCGCAAAAGTAGGCTCGCTAGGCATCAAACAGTACAAAAGTGTCATTGCTAAGTTTGATGGAACGGACGGAAAGCTGCAGAAGACCCGGATGTAAATAGGACTACAAAATAATAAAAAATTTATCAGCAATATAGCAAGAATATTGAGAATAAATAATGTCCTTTCCAAACCCTAAACAAACATCTGCTTGCATGGATAAAAGCACCTGAAATCAGAATTTACACCTTTCCACCACCTCTGCGTAGGAGCCTAATGCACGGCGCACGGACCAAATCGATCAGAGATAGCCGAGCTTCTCTTTCACTCATTTGAAGGGAAATATGTGTTTTGAAGGCACACTGAAGTTTTCGAAGGTGTATCCTCACAATGGCACAGGAGTCGATTTTTCGGGTGGGTCAGAGGGTAGCGCGTCTGTGACCCATCTAAAATATCTCCTGAACTAGCGGGTCTTCAGAAAAAAATAAAGCTTATTGGAAAGAGAAAAGATAGGGCGGTTCGACGATTCAATCCTGATGAAATTGCGTTTGAACGAAGCAATCCTCGCGTGAAGCATGGAAACCAGCTCGCGATTTACCCCTAGCCTATCCAAAACCCATCCGGAATATTTCACCAACGGGGATTGTTCAGTTTGCAACTAGGTAGAATACACAACAGTAGAAACTTTGCCGTTGCATGCTGCTCACCATTCCTCAAAAGCTCCGCACCTAAAAGAGATATAAGCTCCTGAAAAGACCCCAGAACGCTGACTTTCGAGTTACCAATGACGTTTTTGCAGCGAAAGCGGTCGCAGCCTTGCGATCGATAATAGCCAAGTATAGAACGATTTACTGCCGCCTGGTTATCCTTTTTTCATTTGGCTCCGCATTTTTTGTATTTTTCATGTTTCGCTTTGTTGTCGTGCATGTTTTCATTGATTTCCCCGTCACCATTCATTGAATGCACATCTGGGGCCTGACACGCTCACCTTGGGGCTATTTTTTTCACCAATTCAGCTTATCAATGATCAGTATCAGTCGCTGTTTCGATTGTTTTCCTTCTTAAAAGTTGCATGTTATACATGGTTATCGAAAGATAAGTTTTATTTTGGATCTAAGAAAATTGTAGGTAATGCGAGGCTGTTGTTCAGCCTCATATTGCATGAGGCTGAAACAGCCTCTATTGCCTGGATTTTAGAGAAGAGTCCGGCTTTCGAAATTCCGATTCCATTTCAGGAAGCCATTTGTGGTGAACATGCATCTCTGGTTGTCAGTTAGAGCAGGAGGAGAACGGAGGGTCGTATCTGAAGCCTTCGAGGGGATCTTATCCACACGCCATTTCGCACACCCCCATGCTGTACCACTGATTCATACGTGTCTACGTCAGGAGATGAACATTCAACATTATGAGTAATAAAATCTAAACATGATCTCATAACAGGTATTTACCACTATATTCAAGTCAGACTTTGCAGTGCGCGCTGCTTCGGTTTTCTTTGGGCTTGGGAGTGTTCGCTTACGTTGCAGCTTCAAAGCTTAAAGATCACCAGTAGTACGCTCACAACACATTGGGTATGAGACTATCAGCTCCCCAGCTGTCGATGTGTCGTGGTCCCCGCCGCAAACATGCCCAGAATGGAGATACAGGGCCGTGAAACACGCTAATTCCTCCATGCTTCGCCCACTGCCTTTTTTCTGTCTTATAACATCCGTCGCTAAGGGCGCATGTCGCGGGCGGCTAGGGCACAGCGTTGTCGATGGGATTCCCGATGGGGGGTGCGTACCAGCCCGGAAAAAAGGGGAGGGGTCGTAAAAGCTCGACCAAAATTCCCATCGAATGCTGTGCCCTGCGTGCGGCTCCTTGGTACTTTGCCAAGTCCTTTAATTGCTCTTTCAAATACAAGTAAACCGCCAATATTCCTGATCGCGGTTACAAATTTGGTAACTCTCCTCACATTCTGCCTTCCACTCTGGGGGAGGGTGCTTGCAAAATATAGTAGTGTTATTATTTCACTCCGATCCTACGCGACTAGACTTAGCAGTTAAGTTTATGATTGACGAGCGCGTCAGAACTTAAAAGCAACTGTGCACTCTGCCAACATCCCTCGGAGGCAGGCTATTTCCACGAAACTATGAAATAAAACTCCAAACCTCACCCCCCTTACTCGCTATTAGTCTGATATGAAGCAAAACGACCGCAGTTTTTATTTTCATGTTTCGTGGAAATACGCGGCCTCCGAGGGATGTTGCAGAAGTGGCACAGTTGCTTTTAAGTTCTGACCCTCGTCATCATCTTCTGCTCTTATTTTTTGCAGCACGACTCCATTGTTTAGTCCGCATCAGGAAATGCTTATTGGTAGGGGGAGAGAAAAAGAAAAATTAACCAAACGAGCAAAAGGCAATTTCCTGATGCGAATAAAATTTTAGGTGTTGCTCATGCTTCAAAATCCATGTACAAGGAGATGAAGATGACACAGGCTAGAAATGAAGCACACGATGTAAATGTAAACAAAACAAAAATGAAAAAATCAAGGAAAGGCAAATTAGTTAAATCGCCTGTAAATTTTCTACGAATCCGGCGCGAATCCGGCGCAAAGCCATAGATAATACCTAGAACAAACGAGTGGGACGCTTGGGTTGTTTTTATACTCATGTTTTGTGGGAATGCGCGGATGGATACTGCAGATGCAGCCGAGTTGCTCTTGAGTTCTGGCCCTCGTCATCATCTTCTGTTCTTATTTTGTAGCACCTCCAATGTTATCAGGAAATTGCGTTTTACTTGTATTCAGAGCGCGATCAAAGGACTTGGCCAACAGTGCAAGAGATGCGCCACGCGAATCGCGCCGTCTTACGACGGATTATGAAGAGACTAGGGAATCCTGCGCCGCCACAAAGTTATTAATGGCCAAAGGCATGGAGGAATTAGCCTGTTTCACGGTACTGTATCTCCATTCCTGGGGCGGGGACCACGACACATCGACAGCTGGGGGCTGATAGTCTCATACACCCTCAATGTGTTTGAGCGTACCATGTGTCTTTAAATGAGCATTTCCGACTATCTTGTCGTATCTCGGCAGTCACTTTTGTAATGATTGATTGAAAGCGTCCTTTGCGGGCTCATTCTACCTTTGGATGTAGGCCTGTTAAAACTCCTT